GGGAGGGGGGGGTAATAAAAGAGGTAAAACATGTTATCACAGAACCGGACAAAATCCAAAATCTCTTCCTATTTCCTGAAAAAATAGAATCTAGGAGAAGTTCTTCCATCATAGAGTGTCACTCTGAGTCTACGGGGGCTGTTGCTACCACATCCAAGATGGCGGCACCCACCGGTAGTCTCGGGGGTTTTGGATTTCTACACAGGGGGAGGCTTTTACATGTAAATAACATGAATACATTAATTGCAGATATAATCTTATGGGAAGATTCTTGTTGAAATGTATGGCGTGGTGACAGGGTCTCTTTAAGGAGCATTGTCTGCCCATTCAAAATGAATAGACGGCCTTAAAGGAGAACTATGAGGGTGGGGGGGTGCTTTTCACTCCTCCTCATAGTTCTAGCTGACCTGTGACAATGAGACTGTCACAGGTCGGCTCAGTAGATCGGGAGGTGAGCGAACACATGCCGGCGTTCGCTCACCTCTCGATCCTGTCACGGCTCTCTGCCGTGACAGGGGAGGGGCTGGATTCCCCCCTCCCCGCTCCGCCAGCGCTGACTGGCAGAACAGACGGGGGAGGGGGCGGGTACAGCTAGCTCTGCCTCTAGATAGGCGGAGCCAGCTGTCACTCACGCAGCTGGGCGGATCCAGCCATAATTGTCAGGATCCGTTTCAGCTGCGGCGTCTCAGTATACCGCGAGCTGTAGCTCCCTATATACTGAGCCTAGGGTGACAGGAGGACGCTGGTTTGTGTCCTCCCGTTACCCTAAGGAGAACAATGGGGGAAAGCCCTGACCCCATAGTTCTCCTTTAATGCAATAGGCCTTTAACAGGATAAAGTGTTGCAATACCGCACCTGCATTATCTTAAATACAGCTAATATAAATACCAGATTCTGCGTTGAATTGGCTTCATGCAATCCCTACCAGTCCAGACTCAGTGCTAACACTGTGAGCCTCTCTTCAGGAAGGGGGTGGGGGGATCACAAGGATGACCAGACTGCTGTGCTCTTACTTCTTGGCAGCTCAAGCAAAAGGCTGGGTGAGTGGTACCTAAAGAAGGGTGCTGAACCATGCGGATGGCAGATATGTACAGCTAGAAGTGTAAGTTGGGAAATCGTGGGGCAGATACTGTATATGAGATGCAAATGGTGAACCATGACACCACTCCGAAGTCCAATCTGCAAGGACCAACCATGGATGCTCTGGCCTCTAATGGGATTTGTCTCACTCCTGCAGCATACAAAGACATTGTGGACAATTGTGGTCTTCCATCCCTGTGGTAACGGTTTGGTGAAGACCCTTTTCTGTTCCACCATGACTGTCCCCTGTGTACAAAGCCAGCTCCATAAAGACATGGTGTGACCAGTTTGGTGTGAAGGAACTCGGGTGTCCTGCACAGAGCCCCGACCTCAACCCTACTGAACACCTTCGGCATGAATTGGAATGCCAATGGACCAGGTTGGTGTGGAGGAACTTGGGTGGCCTGCACAGAGCCCTGACCTCAACCCTACATCAGGATACATTTTAATCCTAGTTGTGAGCCACTCTACAACGGCCTCCACTCTTCTGGGAAGCTTTCCACAAGATTTTGGAGGGGGTCTGTGGGAAATTGTGGCCATTTGTGAGGTCAGGTGCTGATGTTGGATGAGGAGCCAACATCAGCACCTGACCTCACAAATGGCTACAATTTCCCACAGACCCCCTCCAAAATCTTGTGGAAAGCTTCCCAGAAGAGTGGAGGCTGTTGTAGGGAGACAACTTCATATTAATGCCCATGGTGTTGTCATGGGATGTCCATCCAAGACACCAGAGACAGGATATTGTCAGCCAAGCTAAATGTGATCTCTTCATATATGATGAGCCTGGGACGGAAAATAGCATGAGGCATACAATGTCCTGTTGTCAAGTTTCCTGGTATACTGATAGTCCGTAAGATTCGCGGGGCCCATGACTCGGACGCCTAGGCACCGTAAACACGGCGAGTCTACTCGGATATATTAGCAGGATAATGAAGAGACGTGATAAATGACACTCCACGTACAAGGAACACGGTCATACTACATCAGGTTCATTTTCTCCACTACAGAGGGGGAAGTAACGATCACAATGCTCCCTCTGAGCTCGGTTCATTCGGTGTGGAGAGCTCTTATTTCCATTAAGATAGCCCGACCGGCACAGTACAAATCAATATTTCCCATCTCAGACTACGAGGCTGAACTTCCACATGTGCGCCGAGCTGAAATACAGACCCGGAATTGCTGCCGCTTTATTAAAAAC